CTGGGGATGTGATTGAATAAACTTCCAGGGAATCTTTCATAGACTCAAGGCATGAAGAGGTGCTTCTGTTTTTTTTTTTTTTTAATCTTTTGTCAAAGCAGGAATCTGCTGAGTTTTCTCTCATCTCCATTGTTTTTCGGACATTTGAAATGAATGTGGGCATTGGAATGTTATTGTAGACACTGGAAAGAATTATTTCCAATATACTATCTTGCTATAGAGTTTAGCACACACTATCTCAGGCTTCCTCTGAATACCAAGTAGCTGTTACATGATAGGCTTCTGTTTTTAAGCAAAGGAGAGGCTATAGAAGTAGAATCGTGCCTTTTCACTGATTTTGTCATCATCAAGCATCAAGTCTACCTTTTTTTTTTTTAAGATTTATTTATTTATTTGTACAGAACTGGGGTACAGGCTGGAAATGCGGAGGGTGAGAGGGTTCACCAGAGACAGAGTGGGGAGAAGAACAGGCAGATCGACGAAGTACACTGCTGAAGGGAGCAGTGGGCAGGTCAGTAGAGGTCTGCCTCGCCATGTGGTCACCTCCGGGGCAGGTGGGGATCGAACTCATGCGGAAGTGGCTTAAGCTTCTTAGTGCTTTGCTTTAACCCTCTGCGCCACCAGGAAGGGCCCAGTCTACCTTTTTTAATGGAAACCTATTATTTTTTCAAAGATTTGTTTATTTATACATACAGAACTGGGGTACAGGCCAGAGGTGCAGGGCCGATGAGACAGAGACAGAGTGGGGAGCAGAACAAGCAGACTGACGAAGTACACTGCTGTGGGGAAAAGTGGGTGAGACAGGAGAATCCTGTTTGGGATCAAACTCGTGCTGAAGTGGTTGCCCCTAGCTTTGTAATGCTATGTTTTAGCCCATTGTGCCACTGGGGTGGGCCCTGGATACCTATTATAGACAGGATGATGGATGACGTGACAACTTAAGGTCAATTCAGTGCAGGTTCGTGGCAATGCTGCTGCAGAGCCCTGGTATAAGTTATGAACTGATTGTTATCTATTGTCAAATAATAGAGACATGCAGCAGTCTCACTGACATTCACCTACAACTTACCTTGATTTTTATATTTGATTATTGAATTTTATATTTTTATAGTTGTGGTCAAATATTTTCAACTTGGAGCCTATGGCATATGGGCCCCTCTGATATTAGAAAGGTTAAGTATTAGATAAGAATGCATAATGTACAAATACTTATCCTTCTTCTCACCTCTATCAGATGACATGTCCTACTATGTAAAAAGATCTTGCAAACTCATACACAATCTGATGGTATGTGCTTTTGACTTTGTGTGTGTACATCGCCTCGTGATGCCGATGATTGTTAGTTATGCTATTTATATAAATATCACTCTATTTATAGAAATGAGGAGTCAAAGACTAACATTACCTGAAGACCTATTATGTGCCAAATATGTTCTCTGACTTATCCTATTTTCTTATAGTAATTCTTTTATTAGGTGTTAGTTTTCATCTCTCTAGTGAGTGCTAACTATTTCTCTGGTTTTTATTACTGACATATACTGGGTTGTTGGAAAAGTCATGATGTATTTTCCTATGTTTTTCAAGCAAAAATGCACCATGACTTTCTTGACAACTCAATATAATATTGTCACCTACTGAGGGCTTTTCATGGTACTATGCTGAAAATCCTGGTTGATATGAAAGCTTTGAAGCCAGAGGAAAGAGGCTGAAGTTATCAGAAAACAAGAAGAGATTAATCATCTGGTCAACAGAAGATAGAAATTATCCTGCATCCAGTTGCTCACAATAGTTATATCCTGCAGAACTTAGTACCACAGCCACAATACCAAAAGCAGCATATTACACTGATGTAGTACAAATACAGAAAAGTTCCATTAATACAAGTATCTTTCATGTTGCCAAGATGCTCACTCTTGAGAATTTAGTTTATATCACACAGATATAACTGTTTGTGTAATTACATATGCATATAAATAATTACTCTTATTCATCAGTTGGCCCTCATTATACATATTATCTTGACACTTGTTTTTTCATTTATTTATCCTAGTTTTAATATGCACTTAAGTTTTTGTCTATGTTTGAGTTAGTGTCAGTAATATATTTTTGAAATACATAAAAACTGCCTATAAATAATATTCTTTTAGTTGGTCAGAACTATTTACATGTCTAGCATATTGTCTATCACTAAATTCATTTTCAGTTTTTCACTTGCCATAAATTCTGGTTCTTTTTATGGGGGACGGGACAGATATATCTTTTGAACTTTAATATATGTCATTAAACTCAAAGCAATTCACTGTAGGAGAAATTGAACCTACTTCCTGTGTTCATTTACCAGTCTTTAATTGCCCATTGCATTGCCAGGAAGAAAATTTAGAAATTCTGCAGCGATGTTAAGGAAGTTGAGGATTTTGTGTAGCACATGCAAGAAAATATGCAGCTTGCAACCAAGTTTGGAAGGAAAAGATACCAGAAGGCCTGAAAATGGGAGAATAGTAAAGAGATTAAAAGAATGGGAAATTCTGAGAGAGTATTAATAATTTAAGCAAATTATTAAAAAAAAAACCTTAGGAACAGAATTAATCTTGGCAATATCTGCTTGGAACCCTTCATTTCATTCTGTGTTTTTCTTGTCCCTGTTATTTCACCCTGTAGTTGAAAATCAAAGTATCAGTTTACCTATTGTGTCCAGCAAAGCAGAGACATAACGAGTAATTGAAGACCAGAGTAAGGTAGGTCATATCACAAGAGCAGACCGGCCCATGACCAAGTGAACATGGTTGAGTCACTTCCCTTGTGCAAAACCCAATTCTAACTATAGTTGTTTTATTAATTGAGGTATAACAGACATAAAACATTACACTAATTTCAGGTACATAACAAAACTACCTGACTATCTGATAATTTATATGCATTGCAAAATTATTACCACAGTGAAGCATAGTTAACATCCATTAGTATACACGATTACATTTTTTTTTTCTGGGGATGAGAACTTTTAAGATTTTCTCTCAGCAACTTTCAAATATGCAATATGATATAAGTAACTATAGTCACCATACTGTATATTACATGCTTATGACTTTTTTCATAACTGAAAGTTTGCACTTTTTGAACCTCTTGACTAATTTTCCACTCCCCACTCCTGCCTCTAGCAATCACCTATCTTTTTTTTTATCTATGAGTTCATTTTTTATTCCATCTGTAAGTGATCATAAAGTATTTGTATATCTCTGTATGTCTTCTCTTAGTGTACAATTCCCCCAAGGCCCATTTGAGTTGTTGCAAATGACAAGGATTTCCCTTTTTAACGAATAAATAATATTCCACTGCGTATAAAAGTAAAGTTGCATGTATAATTTTCTTTAGCCATTCTTATGTGTCCATATCGTCACTATTTAAATCATGCTGCAATGAACACAGACGCTCATGTATCATTTTGAATTACCAACTATAGTCTTTATGTTGAGTGTGAATCTGTATTAGGGTTGTGGGTGGCAAGGGGAACTGACTACTTACCCAGATCATAAGTTTTATTAACAGTTTCTCTCCTCTGAGTAAAATTTTTCTCTTTTTTCAAATGAAAATAACACCAACATGCATGCAACATGTTGCTTTGGTGATTCAAAGGCCTACGACTTAGTGAGACTGCAGTCACACTCAGGTATAGGCCCTCACTGTCCGGTTTCATATCCTAGTTCTGTTACTTGGAAACTCTGTGACTTTTGGTATACATGTGTGTGAAGAACACTTCTGGGTCAAGGTACTACATAGGACAACATGCCATTATTTCTTATATAATGTCAAGTATCCCTTTAGTTCATATTATAAAGAAATTCTCACTCTAATATAGGGATCCCTAATAAAAGCACATCAAAAAATAAAAAGAAGCAAGTGGTAGCAAATAATTTATTGAGTCCTAAAAAGAGAGGCATAATTTATAAACTGATTGTACCTCACCTAAGTCATTATTTGTAGGACAACATGGAAACCTTTACTGTTATTATTTTATTGTCAAAAATAATGCCTACTTTTGTGCAAATTGCAAACATTACAAAAGTGCAGAAAGTAAACGTGCTTGTGTCCCTTTCAATTTTGAGCTGCTCGTGGGCAGCGTTGAGAAAGGTCTCACAGAAGGGACCACGCTGTGAGATTTCCTGCTATTGCTGTTTATTTAGAAGGAAAAATAACTGGCTGAGCGCCCTCCAGCACGTGGGCATGGAACATGAGGGGTCGGCGCTGAGAAATGCGCGGGACAGACCACTCCTCACTGTGAGGCGCGAGAGTGAGACCCGCCCCCACCCCCAGCGTTCCAAATCAGAAAGGGAATGGGGCAGTTGAATGGGTAGAAGAGGACACAAAACTACCTGCCTGCGGATCATCAAAGTATTCACAGTGTGGTCTCTGGAGACGCTTGGAGGATCAGGAATAAGAGTCCCCACCTTCCATCCTTCCACAGCCCTCCCTAGCCGGCAGGCAGGCCCCTCCCACCCCACCACTCTGTGAAGCCCCAGTTGCTGCAGGGAACTTGCCTGCCTGTGGGGGCCTCCCATGGGGAACCTGAGGGAGTCACACCTTCCCCAAGGCCCATCCCAGGAAGGGGGTGTGTCCTGTCTCATCAGAAAGTCTTGGTCAGCTGCCTGCAGACTCAGGCCCTGTATGGGCCCTAGACTGCCAGGGTGAATGACTGGGAGGGGTGTGGGGGGAGATGGGACTTGCTATTCATTCCTGGGCAGCAGGCATGTGGTTGGGCAAGGGAAGAGCAACGATGGGACAGGCAATCAGGCAACGTACAACTTGCAATGCCACTTTTTATTATGAAAATGAACAGGGATCTTGGGTGTGGAAAACAGAGCTGACCCAACTGACCCTACCAGGTAGGGAACTATGGCTTCTTGGTCAGGCTCCATTTCTAGTTCTAGTGTGTGGCCTTAGGGTGGAGAAAAGGGAAACAAAGGTGATGGAGAGGGAGACAGACAGGATAACCCTGGCTCCTCTTAGGGGGTTTGTTGGAAGGCCTCCTCTGGAATCTTGCCCTCATTCTGGAATAAAAAGAAATGAACTGTCAGGATAGCCAGTTCATCCCCAGGCATCTGGTCCCCACCTTCTTGGCCCTCCTTAAGGCCCCCAAACATTCATCTTTAACCGCCTTCAATCCCAGACCTGACCTTGAGCAGGCTGAAGATGTGAGAAGCTCCACTGTAGTTCCACCCGTTGTCCTGGAGGCACCTGAAGTGGGAGGAGAACATGGGGTCTCCATCAAAACCACAGCTCAGGCCTCCCTAGCTGACCATGCAGTGCAGCCACTAGCGCCAAGACACTCCTGCGAGACACATGTCCCGACGTGAGCACCGCGTGTAATGACAAACACAGACCTAAGTGAAAGCCAAAACTTCTGTCGCTAGCATGTCTGCCCATGGATTCAAAACAGGAAAAGAGAGCTCTAGGAAAGAGCAAGGCGACTGAATATAGATTAGTGAAGATGTTCAAGAAACTAATAAATGAAAATATTCAAAGGGGAGAGGGAGAAGATGGCAGCCAGTCAGGATCCTTGAGCCATGTCATTCCCCAGCAATACTGAGTTTAAGTAAAGCCCAGAGGGAGTAGCCACATCTGGAATGATGCTTGGTGCTGGGGAAGTGAGAAGTATCTCAGCAAGTAGAGCCAGAAACCATTGGAAAGAGAAGTCAGAAACACTTAAGTGAGGAATGGCCCTTCTCCCTCACCCCCTCAGTCCCTCCCACCAACCTGGGAAGGAAAGAGCATAATTCACTGTGAGAGCAAAGCCTGTTCCACAGTTCAACCCAGGTGACCAGATCAGCAATGGAAAGAGCCACACAATGTCCACGGCTTGGTGTCTCGGCTCCCAGGAGTATTTGTGTCTGCCCTGGGGAGTCAGGGAAGACACACCCTTTTCCCTCACACCCATCCCACATGACCTCTGAGCTGTATTTACTGGGAGACTACAGGAGGCCACAGCAAACTTGGTGTGGTTGGTGGCTTGTTTAGGGCTGCCATGGACATTATCACACACAGGGACTTGTCCACAATGGGCTTCTAGACATCTCACACACCAGTGTCTGGGGATACACCCATCATTCTCTTTCCCACCCACACACAACTTCTAGGTTGTACTCACAAAGGGTCTGTCAGCAAGGGAGCCTTTCTAGCCTGGGTTTAGGAGAAAGAACAACCATATCATCCTCCTAGACTTTTCAGCAAGAGGATTCTGGACATCAGGCTTCAGAAAGACTGAAGAAGCACGCACCCCCCTTCCTCTGGGAACTCTGGACCTGTGTCTAGAGTATGTAGTCAAAACTTCAGGTAACCACAGGGAACAGAGCCTGTGAACGAAGGGCTTCCTGGTTGCTGGTAGCCATCTAAATACATAAGTCAGCTATTATGAGATCTACGAAAAGACACTGACGACTAAACAGTAATAATAAAGGATTTCAACATAACACTTATATCAGTGGTTTAATTTCCAATATATATAAGTAACTCATACATCTCAATAACAACAAACAACCCAACCAAAAAAATGGGCAAAAAATCTAAATACACATTTCTCTAAAAGACATAAGATGACCCTTAAGTATATGAAAAAAACCCTCAATATTATTTATATTATTTATTATAAAATGTAAATCAAAATCACAATGAGATATCACATCACTCTGTGAGAAAGACCCATATCAAAAAGACAGGAAATAACAAATAAATTGGTTCAGCTTCTATGGAAAATGGTAGGGAGATTCCTTATAATTTTAAAAATGCAAACACCAACTGATTCTGCAGTATCACTTCTAAGTATTTATCTGAAGAAAAAAACAAAAATATGAAAGACAATTACCAGACAGTCACATTCAATTGTGGAATATATATAAATAACCAAAGCAAAAAAAAAAAAAAAGGGAAAACACAAGAAAAATAAGTCTTAGATTGTGAAGAACTGTGGTTACCAGAAGTGAGAGGGTTGGGGGGATGAAGGAGGAGTAAGGGTGAGAGTGTATTAGTGCTGGTGCTTGTGACAGCTGAGTGAAACATCTGCACATGTCAATTAAATAGTTATGTAAACAAATGGTAAATCAATAAAATCTGATAAAGAAATAGGAAATTTCCATAGCCACCCAGACTTCAGCAACCAACACCCTGATCATTTAGCAGCCACCACTGAGAGAAGATAGTCCACTAGCAAAAAGATTATGACTCACGGAAGGCTCAGGTGAGAGTGAGTGCACTTTACTAATAAAGTATTTGCAGTATGTTATGTAAATTGTGTTTTTAGACAAAATGCTATTGCATATTTACGAGGTCACAGTGTAAAGATAACCTTTATATACATAGGAAAGCCAAAAAAAAAAAATTGTGTGACTTGTCTTACTGAGATATTTGCTTTACTGGGGGTGCTCTGGGATATTTCTGAGGTGGCCTGAATGTACATTTGTGGAGTGTTGCCATCTTTGCAATATTAAGTCTTCCAATACAGGAGCATGGGATGTCTTTCTACTTATTTAAATCTTTAATTTACTTCAACAAACATTTTGCATCCCTTTGGTAAATTTGATCATAAGTGTGTTATTTGTTGATGTTATTATAAATGGAATTATTTTCTGAATTTCATTTTTGGATTGTTTATTAGTAGTGTATACTAATACAATTGAGTTTTATACATTGATCTTGCATTCCGAAACAATGTTATCTTGCTTATTAATTCTAATAGATTTTTAGTGATCTCTTTAGGATTTTTATATATACAAGCTTAAGTCATCTGATTATTGTAGATTTTAAAAATTATTTACATGTACCACAATGAATTACATATTTTTCATCAACTCAACTTCGTTTGGAAGCACAGCATCCAAATAGTTATTTTACTTATTCACTGCAAGTTCCCACTGTTCACTCGCTCCCTTCTCCCAGTTTATTCTTATCTCCAGAGACGCCAAGCACTCACTTCTGAGACCAATGGAAGTTCATCCCAGACTGGCTGGAGAAAGCCTGAACCATTTCTTGCTGTCCCACGGAGAGAACAGGGCAACAGTTGGGCCCTGGCATGACGTCAGTGTTCTGGGTTTCTTGGGTCCCGATGGTCCTCAAAGTCATTTCGTCATTCACAATGTACAAACTGAAAGAAAAGTGCTCAAACAACTGGACATTGTACAACCCCAGCCTCCAACGATGATCCCACTGCCACAGTATCAAGCTTCCACTGAACCTGCCTCTCAATTTCCTGGCTGGTACCGGCCCTCCTCCCACAGAACACACACTTGTAGAGATGGTCTCCCAGCCTCACTTCATTTGTGGATTTAATGCCAACACATTTACCTTTTTTAAAAAAAGATTTATTTATTTATGCATACAGAACTGGGGTATAGGCCAGAAGTGCAGGGGATGAGAGGATTCACCAGAGACAGAATGGGGAGCAGAACAGCTGAGCCATGTGGGTCACCTCCCTGGCCTGGGATCAAACTCATGTTGAAGGGGCTGTGGCTAGCTTTGTAGTGTTGTGGTTTAACCCACTGTGCCACAGAGAGGGCCCCACATTTATCATTTATAGCAGCCCAAGGAATGGACACCGTAATCCTCCTTTCTAGCAAATAATCACTGAGGTCTTTTACTTGACCACGGTCACTCCACCCAGGTAGCTAGTGGGTGGTGGGATCAGTAGAAGAATCGGGTACTCTTGACTGCTGAGTTCACACTTTTAACCAGTAATCTAGACCTCTCATTGGGTCTACCTGTTGACTGTGCAAAATATAAAGGAAACCTCCAGGCTTTACCAACACATACCTACACAATTAGCCTCAGCCTGGGAAGGGTTTTGGTTCCTCTGTTGCACCTACAACACAGAACTTACCCAGAATTTGTGCCAGGGGTCAAGATGAAGGTTCGGGTGAAGGTACGAACAGAACCATGAGACTTGCCTTCCACTTGAATGAGAACAAACAGCAATAGCCCCTTAGAGTTACACATACTTTTCTCACGGCAGCATTCACCATTCAGGGTCTTACCTGATAACCTGATACTCCTGCAGCATTCTGATGGGAGCCAGACAGGGACAATTTTTCACTGGGAATTGGGAGGGAGCATCAGGGACCAAGAGGGCAACAATAAGAACAATTAACTCCCAAAGACAATACGTATTGTGTGTGAGATCCTCTGACAATAGTAAGTGTACTTGATTCATTTTTAAAAGCAGCACAAGTGAACCATATTGCTAGATCATTTTGTAAATGAGGCAACTGAAAGGTCAGATAATCACTCAGGGTCACCACGTAAGGGAGTGAGATGAGAGCCATAAAACTCCATAGTCTATGTCCATAATGTGTGAGCTGGTGGGGCTGAAAAGCATGGATATACACCAGACCAGATTTCACGGAGGCAGAGTGGATGCCATAATGGCAAGAGGAGGAAAGAGAAGGGAAAGGGAGGGGAGGGGAGGGGGAAGAGACAGGTAAGGGAGAGAAGCAGAGGGGAGGGTTGGGGGAGGGGACGGAAGCTGGGATAGTTTTGGAAAGGAGCCTAGCCAAAGTGAGGAGCAGAAGTGGGAAGCCTGGGGAGGGGTCCCTACAGACACTTACCTTCCTTGAAAACCCCATTGACAGAAAAGTAGACCATGGTTTCCTGAAGTTGAAAACAATTAGAGCTGTTAGAATCCTTCTAGATCACCCACAAACTCTGAATTTCCTGGTGTGCCTAAGGGAGGAAACAGTGCTCACCGTCTGCACACACATTTCTACCACGTAGGTGTTCAGGTCATGCTGAGTTCTGGGCAACATGCAGAGCGATTCAACAATGTCATATTTTGTATTCTTTAGCAGCTGAACCCGCAGGTCTGTGGGGGGAGGAGAAGGGAAGGTCAGGCACTTGGCCTCTGTCACTGACCCCCTCACACCCCCCTTTCCCATTCTGATGTTCTTTCATCACACATTTACCAGGATCCTCAAGTGTCTTCATATTCCTGCTATAATTTAAATACTCTCCCAAGCTGCTTCTAAGAGAAAAAGAGTCAGGAGGTGGTGGTAGGGTCAGTGTGACGGTTCTCAGGAACTGGCCTGTGTCTACTGGGGACCTGCATGTCCCAGGACCAACAGTGGAGCGGTGATACTCACAGAGCTGGGTCTTCAGAGCTGAAGGGAACCGTCAGGGAGAAGCAGGCCTCCTCGTGATAAACACTCAGGAGGTCCTGTCGGTCCCCGTAGTCATAAATCAAGTAATACCTGTGGGGAGGCAAAGGGGAAAGGCTGGATCCGTGTTTTGAGTCCCTAAAGAGAGAAAATTCCCCTTAACCCAGGAGCAATTTGTCCCAGTCCTCCTCTGCCTCACGATTCCAAGGTGGTGCTTACTGGAGCAGAAATTGCAGGACTAGATTCTTCAGGGTCTCAGATCCTTGATAACTTTCCTGGAATCAAAGGACACCTTGAATCTATGCAGTAGACAAAACATGCATCACAACATCCCAAATCCTAGTTGGTTTCTCCTCACCTTACAAGGTTTTATTATCTCCGGAACATCACTGTCAGTTACAGGTGGCAATTTCTGGCCATCCTGGGAGAAAGAAGAGGAAGTCAGTAGTGCAGACCAGGGCGAAAGGAGATGAATACAGTCTGGGTGAACAAGGGGCAGAAGCTGGGTGTGACATTTCCCTTGAAATTCTACTGGTGAGACTACAGAAGGCATCTTTCATAGCATATCCTAGAAGCCTATGTTACTTACTTCAGTTTTTTTGATTAGTGAGTGAGTGAATGCCTGTGTGTGTGTCTGTTTATGGACAGTATTTTACTATGAATAATAACACATGCATTTGTCAGAAATCAATATACCCTAACTGGCTGAGGATTAGATACAAAAAAAATAACTTAAGCAAGTTCCAAAATACCTCAGGACCGTATTGTCCTGTAGTAAGAGATTATTAATTTTAATAAGAGGAGAAAATAAGGAACCCAAGCACTTACCAGGCGTAGCAGCGTGGGGAAGCAAGCCCGGATGGCACTGTCCAAAACAAAGTGGAAAGGAGTGACTGACAGTTCAGGGCTGTGAAGCCCCTGTTCTCCTGCTCCTGTCTCTCCTGCTCCTTTCCCCTGGGGTAGTAGCTTGGTAGTAGCTTGGGGCTAGACTCCCCGACTCCTTCTCCACCCCCACATGACACAGCATTTAGAGCCCAGCCCCACCCCACTCCAGGCCCCTCCCTGCCTGCAGGACCACCCTCCCCCAAGGCTTCAGAGAGGAGTCCATGGCATGGGAGCCCGGGGTACTGCTGCCTCACAGACCAGGACCCCCCCCCACTCCCCACTCAGGGGGATGGCCCGGATGTGGGCAGGAGGGGAGTGAGGTAGAACTCAGCTGGCAGGAGGGAAAGGGGCAGGTGAAGACTCAAAGGGGATGAAGGCAGGATGGGACACTAGAGAGTCTCAGAGGCACAGAGCACAGGAGACAGAAGGCAAGGGGATGCCCCCCCAGCCCCCGGAAAGAAGAGAGGAGGAAGGGGAAATGGCTCCCCCACCCTCCCCACCACAGCACTTCCCTTCACCTGCCCTTGGCTGGCCCAGAGACCCCACTGGGAATGGAAAACATGCCCCAGTGGGGCTGGGGCCCTCTGGAGGTTGGTGGATCTTTCCGCACCCCTGGAGCCCAGTCTGAGCGGACACCCTCCCCAGAAGGAGCGAGGGGCCAGGCCCAGCTCAGCATAAGGAGGGGGTCTGAGGCCCCTCTGATGTTACTATCTTCTCTCCTGACGGCCCTGGGCACCTGTGCCTGTCTTCTTCCATCCCTGGATGATGAATGTCCCTGTTTCAAGCTGGGTGAGGAGCCCCTTGGAATGAGGAATGAGGGTATACCCCAAGAACAGGAGAGGGCAGCCTGATCCCAGCACAGGGCAGGAAGGCCTCTCTCAGCACCAGGACCAGGCCGGAAGTCCCTTCTCAGTCTGGGGCACCACATCAGGCTCAAGGCTGATGATTTGGGGCTGGGGGCGGGGGGCAGGGAGACCTGGTGAAGAGGGGAAACCCGGCTTCCTGGGGTACACGCTCCTTAAGGCACACTGGAGGAGGCTGGATGCACACTCAGGGTCAGGCACCAGGCTAGGAGAATGGCAAAAGCATGTCCAGTGAAGCAGAGGCCTTTGAGCGCAGATGAGGGACACAGAGCGAGAGAAGAGAGATGGGTCTGTTCTCCTAGAACAGAGGGCCTGCTGCCTCCTTCAGAGAAGTGCTATCAAGTTTCTCAGGGCATAGGTCTCCAAAAAGTGTTTTGGTGGACACACACTGACCTCATATAGGCGGACTGGTCTGGAAAGGCGTCACACAAGGGGTTCCCATACAGCCACAGCTCCTGAAGTTTCAGCCCTTTCATCTTTCTCACCTCTTCCACTGAACCCAGCTGAGAAACATGGGGAGGGAAATTTGTTCAGAGAAAGGGAGACCTCCAGGCTCCTATATTCCCTTTCTCCACTCTCCCCTATAGGTATCTTTGCCTGCCTTCTGCTTCTGAAGACAGTATCTACCCCCTCAACCCAGCTTTTATCTGACTCTTTTCTCACCTCATTTCTGGAGAGGTTCAGGATCTTGACTGTGGGGACCAGCTGCATAATGTCACTCAGGCCATCTAGCTGGTATAGTTCATTGTCTTGCAAATTCAGAGAGAGCAACTTGAAGGAAGAACAGTTACTATTTAGGGCCTGGGAGACAAACGTTCCTCTTTCCCCAACTGTCCCACCTCGTACCATAGTGTTAGCACTGGGCATGAGGTCTCACCTCAGGGAAGTTCTGCTCTATGATCTGCACGATGGTGGCCATGCAGTTACTTTCATTCAGGATTATATCAACATCATAGTTCTCCAAATCTTTAGGAAGGAATTCAGGATCAGTTGCAACCTCTCCCCAACATACTGTCGCTAATTCTGCTTCTTAGGCGCACCCCTCCTCCACCCTCACCTGCTCTAGAATGACTGCTGTCACTCATACCTGGGTCAAAGCAGAGACTCTGCAGGTCAAGGCATTGCTGGGAGGAATCATATCGTTTGTACATGGTCAGCTGCATGGAGGAATGGAGAGAGCTGCTCTGAAGCTGTACTGATGACAGGGAAATTGGGGGGCTGGGGAAGGAGAGGTGGGTCTGGGTTGGGTGGACACACAACCCATCTTGTGTCTATATTACCTTTAGTTGCTCTATTTCTTCTGGCTTCAACCTAGTCTGAAAACTCTGGGGTTGAGGTGAGGGAGTGACAAAGATAGATATCTGTAGGAAGGAGATGTCATGTAAGCACCAGGGACTCTAATTCCAAAGATGGCCAGCCCTGGCCTGTCCTCCTGTCTTGAAAGTAGATACAGGCGATGCCCTTGACCCATACCTTTTTGTTCTCTTCATCACAAATCTTGCAGTTATTGTCTTTCAATGCAGCAGCAACATTGGCATCCTGGATGTAGAATCTTGCCTCATATTTTATGTAGTGGAACTACAGGGTTTGGAGGAAACACAGTAGTGTCAAGGGCAAAAGGCCCTTGCTGAGCCGGGTCTTCCTTCCCTGTGCCCACCACCCACTCTTACCTCCACTGGCGTGAAGGTGACTCTGCAATAGGTCTGGAGTGAATCCATCAGCCAGATCTTGTCATATTTGATCCCATTAGGAATCTGAGGGTGAAAAGAAAGGATGGGAAAGAGACAACATGAAATATTAGGCCTGCAAGGACAGACCCAACAGAGCTCTCTATTCTGACTTTTTGTTAAGTAATCAAAGCTTTATTTAGCTTTTTATGGAAGTAACACTGGTTTATAACACCATATATGATGTAAAGAATAGGATCACACCTCCTCAAATGCATGTCAGCTCACTCCATGCTCACTGCTGAAGCACCCATTGTCTTTTCCCCTAGACCACTGGGCCCTCGCCTCACTTTGCTCTCCATCCATGGTATCCCCCTTTACTTGCCTCAATTTTGCAGTAATATTTCTAGTTTTGTTTTTGTTTAGTTTTGTCAGTTCCTTTCTTTCCCTCTATATTCCACATTTGAATGAGATCAACCAGTATGTCTTTCTGCAGCTGATCTATTTCACTTAGCACAATTCCCTTCTTATTTCCTACTGTGCTTACAAAACTTCTAAAGTGAAAACCACTTCCATAATTTCAACTATTTTTCTGCCAGACATGGATTTTTCTGCCCTTCCTATTGCAAGATTTACCTCTCAAATAATCAGTTGGATGCTGAAAATTACCTTTCTTTAATAATGCTCCTAGAGATCTTAACCATGGAAGACCCTACATTTCCCTATGACAAGGACTCCTCAACACCCCCACACTCAGCTTAAATTAAGTTGAGGCATCCAGTGAGGAGCTGCTTCATCTCCTTGGCAGTCACCCGCACCTTTGCCTTTAGGCAACCTACTGTGATATTTCTACAGTAAGTCATAACCATTACATGGCTTTGGAACCTGTCCTCAGATGAGTAAGTATGTCACAACTCCCCTGGATCCGCCTCGACTGCATGTGCTCTACACTTTGTCAGTATACTCACTGTGATCTCGAACCAGTCCTGCAGGCATTCACTGTCAGCTTTCTCCTCCATTTCTCACCCTAGAAGAACAGTGTGTTGATATTTATTATGCTATTTCACACAGTAACTGGTGGGTTAGAAATTAGAAGGCGACTGTGGGAAGTAGCAAGAAGGAAATTCCCATAACTGTATAGAAAAACACACAGAAATGCAACAGTCTTCTTTACCCTCTCACCTCCGTGACACCAGGTCTACAATTTTAATTGATCAACTATTACTACAATTACAATAGTTTGCAGGTTTTCTGTGAGAGAAGAAAAAGAAGTCCACAAAGAATGAAGAAGTTGCATAGTTCCAGGGCTGCTACACACAAACATGCTGCTTGACCCCTCGCCATCTTACTTGGGGGTTCATTCTGGTCACCCCTCATGGTCTTGTTGCCATCATCTCCTGAAGTTTGGAGGCTAAAGCTTATACACACATGTTCCTAATGAAGGTTGACTTTACCAAAATTACCCCACCTCCTTTTCCCTGTTAAAAGGCACAGTCATGATATTTTGAAGTGAGAACAAAATAAAGTTTGAAGACACATGAGTGGTCACACTTCTTCTTTTAACATCATGTTAGAGCCAGGAAAGTGTCAACTTTCAACTGAGAAGACAATTCTTCTTAACTGCTGCTCTTTTATAACAGATGTAAACAGTGAAGTGTAATGATACATGTCAAGTGCACATGACACCTACATTTTTTATGTTGTTGATACATAATTTGATTACATTATACTCAGAAAACATATGCTGTATGATTTCAATTCTTTTAAATGTGTTGAGGTTTGTTAGATGGCACAGGCGATGCTCTAGCAGGTGAATGTTCTGTGGGAACTTGAAAATAATTGTATACTCAGCAACGTTCATCTTGTAGACCTTATTATTTTATTGTTACCCAGATTCTTATATCCTTGTTAGTTTTAGTAATTCTGTTAGTTGTTGAGAGGGGAGGTATTGAAACCCCTATTGTAATGGTGGATGTGGTTATTTCTCTTTTTGATTCCTTAAGTTTTTGCTTCCTGTGCCTTCAGGCTCCTGTGGTTTGGAGGTATACACAGTTAGGGTCATTAGGGTGAGTTATTTTAGCATTATGTAATAACCTCAAAGTTTCCAGTCATTTCCTCTGCTCTAATTTCTACCTTATCAAATATTGTGGCCTTGGGTATGTGGTTTTTGTTTGTTTGTTTTGTTTTTAAAAGATTTATTTATTTATTCATATGGAACTGGGGTACAGGCCAGAGATGTGGATAGTGAGAGGATTCACCAGAGAAAGAGAGGGGAGCAGAACAGGCAGATTGACGAAGTACACTGCTGAGGGGAGCAGCCGGCGGGTCAGGAGAGGTCTATCTTGCCATGTGGGTCACCTCTGGGGCAGGCGGGAATCAAACTCATGCAGAAGTGGCTTTAGCTTCTTAGTGCTGTGCTTTAACCCGCTGTGCCACCAGGGAGGGCCCGGGTATGTTTTTAAAAGTGTTTTGATAATATTTCATACTATATTTACATTCAGAATTTCCTTGTTTACTCCCCATGCATTTCACCAACATATTTAATTCAACATGTGGCAGTATTCGGAAGTTTCACTCCTCACTGTCTGCTGCAGATATAAAATATTCTCAATGGTCTTCATAGGTAGATTCACAAAGGGTACTTTATTTTGTACTACACTGAATTGAAATAATGTACTACTTGAAGGTAATACTAGTGGCTTGGAGAGAGGGAGAATTATGGTAATTATATGGTTAGAAGCTGAATTTCCTTTGATTTTTAAAATTTCAGGTTGTGTTGTTTTGTATCTTACAATTGTACACTAGTTATGCTACGTTTCACAGAAGTCTATTCATGTCTATCCACTCAATGATGTACTGAATATGACAATACTTCAGGTTAATTCATCACACAGGTGATTACATTCACAGTGTTACCTGCTGTCAGAGAGGCTCTACTGCTACTGACTGGTACTTTCCCCATGCGGTGCTGGGAAGTGAAAATCACTATGGGTAGAACATTTGATCTAGAAACTCTCCATGTTCAGTCTCTAAAACTTGGACTCAGTCTGGAGTATTCTCTCTCTCACACTCCAAATATAACTTACAAGAAATTTCTCTGCCCCTGCCTTCAAAATAAATCCAAAATCCAGTTACATTTTATGCATACAAGAACTGGGGTATAGGCCAGAGTTGCAGGGGTGGGGGCGGTTGTTGAGAGGGTTTACGCACTGTTCAGGAGCTATATTCAGAACAGCAAGGGTCTTTGTGTATAAACACATAGCTCTGTTTCCTTTGAGATCATCTACATATGGCTTTCTTATAACCTATTTTCCTCTCCTACCACCCACACACACACATTTAACTGTCTGACATAGAAATGCCAATAAATACAAATCTCCATCATTTTTTATAGTGACAACACAATGGGGAGCAGAATAGGCAGGTGGACTGAAATACACTGCTGAGTAGAGCAGCGGGTGAGATGGGAGAGTTCTGCTGTGCCCATGTGGATCACCTCCTGGCTGGGGATCAAACTCAGGCCTCAGTGGTGATAGAGACTTAACCCGTATGCCACCATGGAGGCCCAGAATCTAGCCACTTCTGATTACTGCCATTGCTACCAGCTTGGTTGTTATCTCTATCTATCTCCCGTACTGGAACACCTCACTGAACTGTGTTTCACTTTATTGTGTTGCATAAATTTTGCTGTTTTTTTAAAAAAGATTTATTTATTTATGCATACAGAACTGGGGTACAGGCCAGAGGTGCAGGGACAGTGAGGGGATTCACCAGAGACAGAGTGGGGTGCAGAACAGGCAGATCAAGTAAACTGCTAAAGGGAGCAGCAGGTGGGTCAGGAGAGGTTTGCCGCACCATTTGGGACACCTTCTGATCAGGGATTGAACTCGTGAAGTGGCTGCTTTTAGCGTCATAATGTTATGCTTTAACCCGTTGCACCACCAGGGAGGGCCCTTTGCCGTTTTTTGTTTGTTTGTTTGTTTTTAATTGAATGCTTTCAACAAGACAGCCCTATGTCCAACAAGTCTGTCGGTGCCATTTTTCCAACACTCACTCCGGGCTTATGTGTCACATTTTGGTAATTCTCACAATATTTCAAACTTCTTCATTGTTTTTATATCTGTTCCAGTGATCTGCGATCAGTGAATTTGGATGTTACTCTTATAATTGTTTTGGGGTACCACTAGTTGCATCCATAAAAGATGGTGAACTTTTAATCAATATGTGGCATGTTTTTTTCTGACTGCTATAACCAAATGGGTCTTCTCCCGACTCTCACCCTGCCCTTGGCTCACCCAAATCCTGAACCACAATACTGAAATTAGGCCCATTAATTACCCTCTGGGGCCTCTAAGTGTTCAGGTGAAAGCAAGGGGTGCACATCTCTCACATTTTTTTTTTGTCTGTAAATGTTTTTATTTCACCTGTTTCTACAAGATGTTGGTGTTGAATAATTCTCACCTGAAGGAATTAATTTTCCTTTTAGCACTTTATTTGTCACTTGCCTTTCAGTTTTCCTTTTCTCTATGTGTCGTGATTTATTGTTCAAATTTGTACACTTTACAGGTTTTGATTATTTTAGCTCTCATAAACATTACTGTACCGGAGCAATTATCCTTATAAAACATCTTTGTGTACCTGTGCTGTATTTCTTCAGAACTTTAATCAAAAAATTAGAAATTATTATTCACCTTAGTGCAGCACTATGAAGGTACCTGTAGCCACGCCAGCATGAGTTTGATCCCCAGCCAAAGGGGTGACCCATATGGTACAGCAGACCTCTCTTGCCTTGCCCACTGTTTTTCTCAGCAGTATATAGTTCAGTACATTTGCCTGTTCTGCTCCCCACTCTGTCTCGATAGAGTCTTCTCACCCCCCGTCCCGCACCTCTGGCCTGTACCCCAGTTCTTGTATTCATAAATAAATAAATCTTTTTTTTAAAAAAAAAGAAATGATTAAGCTTAGTGAGGAAAGGATGTCAAAAGCTGAGATAGGACAAAGCTAGATCTCTTGCACCAACATTTAGCCAAGCTGTGAATGCAAAGGGAACATTCTTGAAGGATATTAAAAGTGTTACTGCAATGAACACACAAGTGACAAGAAAGCAAAAACAGCCTTAAATGTCAGTATGGAAAAGTTTTGGTGGTCTAGACAGTAGAAGATCAAACCAGCAGCACAACATTTCCTTAAGACAAAACCTATCTCAAAGCAAGACACTAACTTTCTGCAATTCAAAGAAGGTGGAGAGAAATGTGGAAGCCACAGAAGAAAAGCTTTAAACTAGCAGAAGTTGGTTTAGTTAGGAGGTTTAAGGAGGCAAGCTGTGTCTATAGCACAGAAAGTACAAGATGAAGCAATAAGAAGCTGCCGCAAGTTCCCCAGAAGATTTTAGTCAAAATAATTGTTGAAGGTGGCTACACTAAACAACAGCTTTTCAATGTTGCTGAAAAAGCCTTCTTTTGGAAGAAGTTGCCAGCAAGACTTACATAGCTAGGGACAAGTCAGTGCCTGGCCTAAAAGCTCTGAGGTGGTTAAAGGCTGGAAGAGGCCCAGGGACCTCATAAACAGAAACAATCAGTCAAGGATGAGGGCAGAAGATGTTGCACAGTGGTGGCACAATAAGATGAGCAAAAGCATCGGAGTCACTGACTCTGTGCTAGCCAGATATCTGCATCTGGAAAACTTCATGAAAAGCAGGTAACAGGTGTTTTCCTGTTCCGGTTGCAGTATTTTTCTAGAATGCACAATGTGGAAGGTAGCAGTGATAACAAGGGTAAACTAAGCTACACAGTGCTAAAGTAAGCATTAAAAAATAAATTTAGAATTCTGTGTTTAACAATGAAAGGCCCATTAAGTTGAATCAAATTTCCAGGTGAGAACAATAGAACGGTGTGAAAAATTAAAGGCTTCGAAGTGCTAACTGTACCATAAGATGTTACAGAACAACAATTGGGGCAAAAAGAAGGCCGGAAGGTGACCCCAATATTTGGGAGATGTTTTACTTTTAGTCTTAGTTGAT